ATCTGGTAGATACATCTTGGCACAGAGTCAGCTGTGGTTCAGCTAAAATCAGGTAACTCTTGCTGAAAATGGAGGCGGCAGAGAGTCACTATGAAGAGTTTCAAAACAAGTTTAGCAGAGAGAACCTAAGCTGGAGACCAGAGAAAGGCTCAGGAGTTCACTAATGGGGCTGGTACTTTATGGTGTGGGCTGAGTGCATGAGCACAGAACACAAGCTGGGGCATCACCTAAAAATGTGGGCAGCAGAGTCCAAGAGTAGGAGGAAGCAGGTTTGAGGGAAGAAGAAGTGGGTTTTCTTCAGAAATTCAGGCAGACAACCACTGGTAACCCAGAAGACTTCCAGTGGGCGGTAGGGCTCCAGTCACTGGCTTCATATCTGGGAAGACTTGGATCTAAATAAAAGCAAGACAGGGTCCAGTCCAAAGTGGGATTTGAGACTATAGGCAGGTTAACAGGGCAAAGACTGAGGGACAGGAAAGTAAGGCAAAATCCCGGGGCTTACCTTAGCTAGACATAGGAGCAGAGCCAGAACTAAAACAAAGGGACAAAGAATTCCAGAGCACTGACGGAATGCTGGGATGCAGGGTGGGCTCAACTTTGTGTTCAGAGGCCTGAGGCATGAGTGCAGAAGCAGAGGCTGGATACCAGGTGATCACTACCAGATCACGGTTTCCGGATGCTCCTGTTTTATAGATGGGTTAAAACACTGCCTCCTTTTTCATTTGTGCACTTTCAGAAATGGTCATATAGGACAGCCAATCGTTCATAATGTCAAATAAAGAAAAGCCATAATTTACTAGGCCTGCCATTTCACACGCAGAGAAAAGAACTTGTCACATACATTCACACACACATTCTCTGAAGAAAGGGAAGTTTAAAATGTGACTACACTTAGCCTTATGTAAACTCACTACATTTTCTATTGATGTTTTTCATTTTTTATGGACTAATGAAAATTTTCATAGCTCAGCCTTGGTTTGAAGGTCCCTGTTTGAAAAATGTCAGTATTTTCATATTGTGTACCAGCTTTCCCAGGCAAGCACGGGAGAAAAAGAGGGGTGTGAGCATTTGGGTCCAGCTCCAGCTTGTAGCATTTGACCCTCTCCCTGAAGTATTTATAGCACCTATCACCCATTTCATATATTGTGTTCCATTTAAGAGTGGGTTAAAAAGCAATGCTTAAAATGAGGTTTGAAAACCACTCCTGGTTTACTATGGAAGAAAATGAGATCTGTACACTGAATTAGTAACAAAGCTCAAATTTAAAACTGGGACTTTGATTCCTACTTCAGATGGTCGAGAGAGATGACCATATCTTCTGATTCTGTAGAATCAGAATCCTATGTATAGCTATCTGTAACTGGATTTTTAATTACATATATAATCAAGACCTACAGAAGTCCAAGGTGACCTTATTGTTAAATATAAAATTCTCATTCTACCTCTAGTCCAAAATTAGAATAGACTTTGGAATCTGTTCTGAGACCAAGTCAACAATAATGTATGGCTTTCCTTCATTTATTGCACCCCATCCCCCACTTCCAAAGGGAGGAGTATATCTCAAGAGATGGTTGGGAGGCCATCCAAAGCTGCTGGTGCTGAGGATTTGGGAATGAGACACTCCATCTCTAACAGTGTGGGTTTTGGCAGGTAACACTAGACTTAATCTATGCTAGCTGGCTGGGGAGGTGAGGAGGAGTGTCTGGTATACAAGGCAGAGCAGGAAGAAGGATCAAGGCTTAGAAGTAAGAGAGGAGGGTCAGGTTTCTCCCTGTCTCTTTTTCCTCCTCCAGTCTGGACTTCCCTGAAGGTCAGGGCTAGGGCCTGTTCCAGGACAATACAGAAGGTCTTTGGGAATTTTATGGCATTCTTGTTCCAACTCAAGGTCTGCTCTGGAGGTGACTAGACCCAGCTGTAAATAATAAAAAAAAACAAGCAAAAGATTCAGGAGGAAGGTCTGCTAATTCAGGATTACTTAGAATAACTTTTTTTTTTTTTTTTTTGGTAAGGCATGAGGACTTCGGATCTGGCTAGAAACTGGTCTGGATGTTTATTTTTCCTCATTGTCTCACTGGAAAAAAAGGGTGGGTGATTCAGACAGCAGCCTCCGCCTCTGGGCTGGGGCCTGGGTCAGTCTCAACTCTGTATGTACTTTGCTCTTCAAGAGATGGGTCTCAGCCTGGAGAAATGCTGCCTCTTACCTCCCACACTTGCTCGCAACTTCCAACAAGGGTCCCCAGAGAGTTGAGAGTCTGATCTCAGTTAAAAAACAAAAAGTAGGGAGGGAACAGGGAGGAAAAGGACCTCCCAGGGATGAGAACAGAGAAGGGTGAGGTCTCTGAGAAATGTTTCTTGCCTTTCTGCCCTATTCTATTCCAAGCTGTCCCATTCACTTTTGTCATGAGGGAAGGACCAAGGTCATCAAAAGACATCTGAATGGAATGGTCAGCTCTGCCACAGCCTCCCTGCTGTCAGAAGTCCAGCAAAGTAAGGGCTCCTGACCTTGAAAGCACCACTTTTCCTCTCCAGAGAAGCAGGAGCTATCTGAAGACCTTCAGTAACATTCTCCCAATGGATGCTGAAGATTTCTCCAAAGGCATTCCTATGGGTATCTATCATAGGACCCCAGATGAGACCCAGAACTTGAAATATGGTACTGGGGAGTTGGCTGGGAAAAGCAAAGATTGCTAGAAGTTTAAATATTTATGAAATATTTCCAGGGGATATCCTCAACAACTTTTTAGTATAGAAAAAGTGGGGAAGAAATGAAGAACAGTTCATTGAGACTCTGGGAATTCTTCATCTCATAGAATTACGCATACAACTACTATGAAATTCTTGCCAAAGAGTTCAAGAATAAGGGAAAAGTGACTTAGTGGAGAGGATATGGGGGAGGCTCTGTTCTTATTTCAAATCTTTGGAGAGTTGCACAACAGGGCTTTGGTTAAACCCCCTGAGCGCACATTCATGTTGGTTTGTTGGCTATTATAAGACATCTTGTTAATTTAGCTGTCAAGAGATTAACATCAATGGATAATGGCATCTTACTTTCAAAATAATCAGATCTTTGTGATTTATAAATGTTTTGCTGCTCTTCCTTCTTGCTGGCTATTTTTTGTGTTAGAACAAATGTGCAGGGGGCTGGAGGGGGGAGAGAAAAGGGGTGGGGGGCAGGGGGAAGAAATGGCCCCAACAATGTATGCACATATGAATAAATGAATAAAGGAAAAAAAAGATGGAAAAAAAAAAAAAGAACAAATGTGGAGATACCACATGCAGCCCTAGAATGGAATATAGATCCAGCAGCCCTGCTCTGGATGTGTCCTTCTTCTACAACGTGAGTAATGCCAACAGCCCATATCTATCTCATTTTTTTTCTTTATACTCAAAGGAGTATGCAGAATGGTTTGTAGACTGTAGAGGTCACTAAACTGCCAGATATTTAAATCATAATCTGTTCACCTTATCCTATAGATATAAAACAATCTTTATTACTATAACCACCACAGGGAAAACAGTGCAAAAGCAGCTACTGTTCACACTATGTACCTGCACATTTTCCTGGCTTTACCTGTGTAAACTCCCAACAACTCTGTGAGGGGCATTATCTCTGTTTTATAGATTATAAAACCTCAACGAGGTAAAGTTACTTCTTCACCATCATACAGAAAATAAAAAGACAGCTAGCTTGTCTGTCAGCATCCATGTAATCATGACCATGTAGGTCCTGCAATAGCTACTGAATAAATGAAGGAGGGAGGGGATAAAAGGGAAGCAGAAGTCCTCAGCTTTGAGGATTCAAAACGATGAGGGCTTTCCTAACAGTGGATGACTCTTGAGCACATGAATAATTCATTAAAGCTCTCTGCTGAGAGCTGGTTCTTTTTGTGCATGGTACATCTGGCCAGTGACAGCTGCCCACGACTGGGCCACAAATGTGAGGACTTGGACCTGCCTGCTCATAAACACAGCTCAGAGCAGTTCTCTGCTTCCATACACTGAATTCTAAAGGCTGTTTTGTTTCCCAGAGGGAGGCAGGGTTCCTACTTTTGTTTGTGTGTACATATACATCACACTCCACACTCACACACACACACTCACACACACACACACTCACACTCACACACACACTCACTCACACACACTCCACACTCACACACACACTCACACACACTCCACACTCACAGACACACACACACACTCACACACACTCACAGACACACACACACACACTCACACACTCCACACTCACAGACACACACACACTCACACACACACACACTCCACACTCACAGACACACACACACTCACACACTCACAGACACACACACACACACTCACACACACACACACACAAACAGGGTCCATATGATCTCTGTTCTTGGAGTCACTTTTCCTCCTGGAGCATCATCCCTGTGTTCCTTTTGGAAAGAATTCTCTGTCAGGAGGCTGGTGTCTCCTCTAACCTTATGTTGCTATTCAGACTCAGTTTCACTCCGGGTCTGGTCTTGATTCTGCAGGTTTTATATGGAGACATTTTTGGCTGGAATATGTGAGGAACTGGAGGGTGGCAGTAGAAAGAAGAATCTGGGGGTGGTAAGAAAGTTGAAAAAAAGATAAACTCCATCTGCCACAAAACTTTTCCAGCCAAAAGTGAAAAACAGAAGTTTTCGATGGATCCTATCACAATACTTAAGTAAAAGAAAGAAAGAAAACAAAGGAAAAAGGAGTATCTGCTTGCAGGAAGCTCCCCATATGAAGAACTAAGCAGCAAGCAGGGATGCTAGACTGAACAGCTTCAGGGGACACCTTGACACGGAATACAATGTGCATTGTCCTTAGGGAAATATGCAGCTTGAAGCTGCCATTAGGCCTGTAGTCTGTCCTGATGCCCCTACAGAAGCACTGGGCTGTAGAAGAACAGTAAGCATCTTATTCCTGAGACTCTGAGCAAGGGACTTGTTCACATGGTTCTAGAGTAGTGCTTTGAGCTAGGCATCCTCACCCCTGGCCTACAGACATACTAGTAGAACCTCATGACTGGATAGAAGCCCTGGAAATTACTAAATGAAGAGTAGTCCAGCCCACAGGTGAGCAATCTGGGGTGGCAAGGAGGGAAACCTGAGCCAGTGGCTGGACCCCTAGTAGAAGGATTAGGAATTCCTTCCAGTCTCTTACAGAGTGTCCACAGGGGTATAACTATCTGGATTTGGGACTGGCAGATGTTCATATTCCATGAGCTCAGGAAGAAAAGGCATGTTATACAAAGTCAGACCTGGTTTAGACTAGAATCCTTGCTGTGTCATTTTCTAGTTGTGTGACCTTGGGCTGAAATTATCGCTACCTCAAGGATGACTGAATTTTCGTGGGGGTTTATTTACAGCCTCTACTT